TGCACTGAGCACCCATCTTCTGTCTTTTCTGGTGTTTTAGTCCACTAATAATGACTTCTCTCTTTCTGTATTTTCAGCTTCTCCCACTCTACCAGTGCCTTTCTTTCCTCATGTTAATATTTCTTTCATCTAAAACAAACTAAAATAATCCCTCCAGATTCCTCCCTCTAATCACTACCTGTTACTAGTTATCAATCTAATTATTATCTTTCCTTCTACAACAAAGGCTTACTGGAAGAATAGTCTACACTGCTGCTTTTCTTAGCTCTAATTCTCTTTTGCCCCCACTGCCTCTCTGAAAATGATCTTCCAAAGACAACTGTTAAATTTCCTTCAGCTTTGCAGTTTTCTTTAATGACCTTTTTCTTTGTAGCATTTGACATTGTCAGTTGTTCTTTCCCTTTCTGAACTCATGTATCTCCCTTAACTTTTGTTGCTTCAGATTTTTCTTCCTGTTCTTTGACAACTTGTCAGAATCTTCTGGAGGCTGCTTTTCTTTCCCCTCCAGTCTTAAACATTGATGTTCTATAGGATTTATCCTCTCAGAAATAGCAGACATTTATTAAACACAAGTATGATATTGAGTGCTTTACTTGCATTATCTGGTTGAATCCATTTGGCCAACCAAGGTTGTTTTACTGATGCTATCTTAAAGCTGAGAAGGCTAAAGATTAGAGAAAAGAAGAAACATGCCCAATATCCCAGTTGGTAAATATTGGAGTAAAGTTGTAAATGTAGGCAATCTGACTTCAGAGCTTACTTATATTCTTAGCCATAATGCCATTTTGCATTAGCAATGCATGTCCCAAGACTTTTATTGCTTCATGTACAGGGATTCAGAAACCACTAAATATCTGTCTGTAACCTAGATTTTCAATCTTTTCAGAGAATAGCTCAAGATTCTATAGTTACCTCAAATTTAATATATCTGGAAATGACTTCATCGTCTCCTATGTTCCTTTCAAACCTTCTTCATCCTGTTATTCTATATTTCACTGAATGATACCTAATTTTCTGGGAGGCATCCTTTCATTTAACTTTTCATTTCTACTTGGTTTACCAAATTCAACTCACATCTACCCTTTCCACTTCAGGTTAGTATAGTGGCTAATGGCAGTGATTTTGGAGTCAGATAGATTTGGATCTAATCCCAGGTATTTCCCCTTAATAGCAGTTGAAATTGGCAAGTTGCTGAGTCAAGTGGTAGTAACAAATAACTGACTTTGATGAGCCTTCATTTGCTCATTTATTTGTCTGTATAAAAGGAAAATGGCAAAGTTAACTCATAGCTTTGTTGTGAAGTTTAACCGACATAATTTAAACATGCTTAGTGTAGTGACTAGCAAATGATAGCTTTTAATATAGCATTGCACACTGGCATTAGCTTTATGTGTGACTTCTCATTCTAGCCTGCTTTACTGAGGCAACCTCACAACTGATTTTCCCATTTTCAGTGTTACCCTTTCCAATCCATTCTGCTACGTGAGTGGCTTATTTTTTTACATTTATTGTTTTATTGTAAGAGCGATTACAAGAGATACAAACATGTGTAGGGTAAGGCATGTGGAAGTGGGCACAGCGCTTCCATGCCCTTTCTTTTTTTTTTTTTTTTGTCTTTTCTTTTTTGGTGCTGGGATCGAACCCAGGGCCTCACGCATGCTAGGCAAGCGCTGTACCACCGAGCTACATCCCAGCCCTCCATGCCCTTTCTGATGCACCATACTCTAGGAACCTCCATGTATTCAGCTCTCCAGAAGTGTCTGAACACTGTCCTTTTGAATTTTGATGGAGACTTCATTACATAGGTACAATTGAGTAAATCAGTGGTCATTATTGTTCAGCTTAACCTTTAGCCCCTCTCCCTTTTCCAGGGGTGTGAAGTGGAGCTAAAAGTCTTATCCCTTTAGCACTTTACCACTTAAGCCAGGTCCTCAGCCCTTTTGTTTGTATTTTGTTTTTGAGGTAGGGTCTCACTCACTTTACCTATCTGATCTCAAACTTGCAGTCTTCCTGCCTCCTCCTCCTCCATATTCTATGTCTCTCTCTCTTTCTCTCTCTCATGCTTGTGCACGCAGTAGACTCATTCACTATCAAAATTATGAGCCTCCTCCTCAGAATAATTTCTGGCAGTTCAGATTGCTTGACTCTATCCTTTCACTGCAGATTGGATGGCCTCCCATTACCTTCAGCATAAGATCATCAGAGACCTTATGAGATCTCTGAGAAAACCCACCCAGATAAGCAAAAAAAATGAAGTGGCTATACATAATCCATCTACCTAAAGAAAACCATTTTCTTTCCTCATCTTTTTTTTTTTAATTTTTGGTACTGGGGATCGAACCCCAGGGCTTCCCACATGGTGAACACTACTATTGAATTATGCATTTTTATGTAATTATGTATTTTTAATGCCTAAAATGTTATATAATTTCTAGCCTCATCTCTCACTACTTTTCAGCTTGCAACATCATGCTCCACCCCAGTACTACTGCTTTCTACTTATAAGTGATATGCTACTTACTACAATATTTTGTTAATTGTCTATTTGCATATTTCTTTTTTACATCTGAACTTCTTTAAAGTGTTGATTGTGTGTTAATTTTTGTTAACCTTGGGTTTACAGTCAGTTTTAGTGGCCAAGTTGTATATAATATATTAGTAGATGTTTGGCTAAATAAATGAATTATAAAATCTAGACATATTTGTGAAAGAAAAAGAGAAAAGGAGAATAAACACATTACTCATGATCCTGACATCCAAATGTAGCAGCTGTTAATATTCAGATGTCTAGTGTGATTTTTATATGGATAATTTCTGCCTTCTGGGGCTTAATGGCCTCATAGTTAATTTGGGGACAAAAGTCATTGCCCTTTCCAATTTCATATAGACATTATGAGTGTAATATATGCAAAAAATCTGATAATGCTATTAGATTATTTGACTTTTAAGCTATTAACCACATTAACGTTTCACTACTTTCTGCTTATTTTTGGAGTTGTTGTTACCTGCCCAGTACTGGGAAACAGATATAGATGGCTCTTTACCCAGATTCCTAGAGTATTTTTTTAGAAGGTATAAGAAATTCTTCATGTGATTCAACTTTGTATTTCTAGAGAACTTAATGTAGTGTTTTGTATGTTCAATTCTTCTTAATAATGTATAAGTTAATGAGTATTTTTGGAAGAGAATTAACATATTTAACGATTCTTCTCACTGTTGTTTTCCTGGGGAGCAAACTGAAGCTCAGTCACGATAGTACTTTACTAGCCCTATACTCTAAATATAAACAAACAAACCCAAAGAACATCTTCAAGAAGGTGCTAGTAAGTGGCAAAACTGAAACCAGAATGCAGGTCTTTTGTCCCCAGATCTTTAGCAGCACCCTGTGATTGTCTCTTGGGAAGAACTGGCAAGGGCTGACCATAACCTTTTTTTCAGAACAGATCACTGGAGTGTTAGTATTCCTTTGGTTTGTGTTTTTCTTTTACTTTTGCCACCAAGATTTATGTGCTCTTTTTTTATTCTACTTTGAAGGAAAGAGGTCTAGATGACCTGTTTCTTATGACACTGGTCTGTGTCTTTCTGTCATCTACTTAACCTCTACTTGACCTAAAGGGAAAAAGGTCAGTGGTGAATAGAAAGATGTCAAGTAACAAAACTTTTAATTCACGTATGTATGGTAGTGGTGATTACCTTATTCTTTGCTTCCTTGTAAGAAGAGATGCTTAATTGAGGAAGCCAGCTTATGCCTTATTTTTCTTTGCTACTGAGGTTTGAACTTAGGACTTTGTGCTTGCAAAGCAGGTGCTCTAGCACTTGAGCCACACCTCTAGTCCATTTTGTTCTAGTTATTTTGGAGATGAAGTTTCACAAACTTTTTGCCTGGGCTGGACTTGAACCACGATCCTACTGATCTCAGCCTCCTAAATAGCTAGGATTATAGGTGTGAGCCACCGGCACCCAACTTCTTTGTTTCATTTTTAAGATAACCTTTTCTTGAAGCCTCATTGTCTGAATGTTGGAGTTTTGAACCAAAAGCCAACACATTTAGAAATACTGGTCTTGAAAATCCCTTATAAAGGGCTGAGAATGTAGTTTAGTGGGTCCAGTCTTGCGTAGCATGTGCAAGGCCTTAAGTCTGATCCCCAACACTGGAAAAAAGGAAAATGGAAGAAAATTCCAAATGGAGTAGATTTTAACTGTTAATCACACACACAAAAAGAGATAGTTATGTAAGGTAACGTGTATGTTAATTAACTTGAGTTAGCCATTCTACAATGTATACATATTTTAAAACTCAATGTTTTACATGTTATAGTTTTCATTTGTTTTTTAAAGAAATACTAGATCATGTTTATTAATATTAATTAATTTCATTCAACCATTTCTTGATAACTATTTTTTCCCTATACTAGTTATTTTTGGGGGAGAAAAGTCTTCCTATCTTTAATGTTCCTCAGAGTAAGGGAGATTATGGGTAGATGCTTTGTTAGCATAGTGCCTAAATGGAATTAGTTTTATAAAAGAACAAATTCAATGAGCTTTCTTGAAAGTATATTTTTCAATTGTTTAAGATTTTTAAAAACTCCTACATATTTAATTAAAGATCATCTAGTAAATTTTGACATTAGTAAGTCGAATCTTAGAAAGTTCTCACATACATGCTAGAGAAGGTATATTAGCAGACACAACGTTCTTTCTGTGTACATGAAAAGGTAATGGCTATCAATTCTGAGACAGGGGCTAGCAAATAATATCTGAAGGATAGGTGAATTTCTTACTTAAATATTAAGTTTCCATTACCTGTGCTTGCCCTTTCATCTTTTACAAGGACTTGTGATATAGCTGATTTGTCTTCTGCTGCACAACAAAGGCAAGGCCTGAGGCTGGGAGAGAATGGTAGTCTATTTATAAAGGAGAACTAAATGGTGTGACTGTTTATTTTTGATGTTTGGATACTTTTTTTACATAAAATACCTGGTTTTTAATTTTTGTTTTATTTTGTTTTATGGGGGGAACCCACATTTCTTTCTTTTCTAGTAATGAAGAGGGGCCCTCTACTAAAAAATGTAAGACTGAAGAAGGGGAAGGAAGTATATCCAGCCTGGCAGAAGGTAGTATCACCAAGGTAAGTGGAGTTTTTCCAGTGTGCTTCCCCCTTTGCAGGAAGGTCATGACTTGAGGCAGATTGCATCAAGTTTGCTTAGTCTGCTAACATGCCACTTTCTCTGGTCCTCTTTATATGAATCATAAAGGCCCATTCCATACTTCTTCCTTTAAGTAATTATTACCAATGAATTACTTACAGAATTATCTATATGGTGTATACATATAACGCTCTTAATGGTATATGTTTACACAGAATACCTCAGTGGTAGCACTTTTTTTGTTGTTTGTTTTTTTTGAGACAGGATCTTGCTACGTAGCCCAGGCTGGCCTTGAATTCATGATACCCTACCTCATCCTCCCAAGTGCTGGGATTACAGGTGTGTACCACCAGACCAACAATGGTCGCACTTTTGGTACAGATTTTTTTGTGACTTCATTTTGCAGTTTTCCATTTGGTCAAAATGACAAAATAATGGGGTTAATGATGTGAATTACTCTACAATAAAATTTAAGTTAGTAGACCTTTTCTATTTTTTTCTAATACATACTTCAGAACAGTTCACAAATCCTTTGGCACTTTAAGCTTTATTTAATGAAAAAGATTTTGAAACTTGAAAATATTACCTTATTTTAAGCAGCATTATTTTGAATCAATAGTTCTTAAAATTTTCCCTTATTGGCAAATTATACTAGGAAGGACAGTCAATACTCGGATGCCTTTAGACTCACCTCAAACAGAAACGCTTTCAGAAAAATCAAATGTCTAAACAGTGGCTCAGACTTCATTTGGATGTTTTATATTATAGGGGAAAAGAAAATCAGGCCCTGTTAGGGTTTGGACCTGCAGATTAAAGGTATAGGTATGATCAGAAAGTACCATAGAATGTGGCCGAGATTTGCATCTTTGAAATTTTCCCACTGGTTCTTCAGTGAACCTGTATACATAATCTGCTTTTACTTTCCTTTTTTGGTGATATGGAATTTGAACTCAGGACCTTATACTTGCTAGGCAGGCACTGTGCCACATCAGCCCTAGGCCTCCAGATCTGCTTTTACTTTTTGAAGACGTTCAACAAATATGTGGGGCATATTTGTGCATCCTACCAAAACTTTGGAGACAAAGGGCCAGCAACAGTCTCCCTAAAAGATTAGTTCAGTGAATCAAGCATTAAGTAGTTATTTCTTATGTCATCATAATGGAGCAAATATATGTAGTGTGACCCACACTGCAGCCTCCTTCAGGCCATTCCTAATTGGTTGGTTATCAGGATGTACAGGCAGTCTACACCACAGAAAGCCTTCAACTGGGTTGGCTGGTGGCTTGGAATGCAATACTTTTGATCCCTCTGAAGACAAGTCAGCTTGCAATAGAAGAAGGTGAGTGAAAGTAGACAGGGCAGCTATGTGACCACTAGAGTCTCCTAGTTTAACAGGGCTCTGGAAGAAAAAATAATAGAAAAGGCCTTCTCTTTGTCTTTAACAGTACACATACTACATTAAGCTATCTTGTATTGCCTGGGGTGAGGCCAGAAAGACAAGTGACTTACAGGTTTATTGTCTGTGGGTCTATTCTAGGTTGGAAGTGTAAATCCTGCTGAAAACTTCCGTGTTCTACTGAAACAGAAAAATGTCAGCTTTGAGGAAGGTGAGTGGTTTGCCTTTGGGTAGGCATTCAAAAAAACAGTGCTTAGTTTGCCTAACTGATTTAAGGTCTGGATTGATAACTGTAGCCTTTTGTTGTAATATTCCATATAGCATAGCATTTATCTTTACTGGCAGATCTTTGTGATTTTTTTTTTTTGAAGGTCATGCATAAGTTTTATTTATTTTTTTTTTATTTTTATTTTTTTATTCATATGTACATACAATGTTTGGGTCATTTCTCCTCCCTTCTCCCACCCCATCCCTTCCCCCCTGCCCCCTCCCTCTCTGCCCCACCCCCTTGATACCCAGCAGAAACTATTTTGCCCTTATCTCTAATTTTGTTGAAGATGGAGTCTCTTTTGATGGAGTCAGTGAGTTTTGCATTTTCTTTTCACAGGTCTTGAGTTGTTTAACTAATAGTTCTTCGGCTTTTCTTTTAATTACCATTTCATCTTCGAGTTCTGAGATTCTGTCTTCTGTTTGTTCTATTCTGCTGGATTGGCCTTCCATTTTGTTTTACAATTCTGTTTCATTTTTTTTTCTGAGGTTTTCCATATCCTGGGTTCTTTCCTCTTTAATGTTGTCTATTTTTGTCCTGAGTTCATTGATCTCTTTATTAATCATGTTCTTTGTTTCACTTTGGTGTTTATACAGTGCTTCTATGGTTTCCTTTATTTCTTCTTGTGCTTTTTCAAATTCTCTATTTTTGTTGTCTTGGAATTTCTTGAGTGTCTCCTGTACATTTTCATTGACCATATCCAGTATCATCTCTATAAAATTCTCATTGAGTACCTGTAGTATTTCTTCTTTTAAATTATTCTTGTGGGCTTCATTGGGTTCTTTGGCATAGTTTATCTTCATTTTGTTGGAGTCTGAATCTGTTTTCTTCATTTCCCTCTGGTTCCTGTACTAATTTTTTGCTGTGGGGAAACTGGTTTCCCTGTTTTTTCTGTCTTCCCATCATTGCCCTTGGTGTTGTTATTGTCCCTATACTGTGTGCAATTAAGTATTTTCTAGCTTGTAATAATAACAATGGTGATATTTAGAATGGGAGGGTGAGAGGAGATGGAAAGCAAAGAAGTTAAAGAAAAAAGGGAAAAACAAACAAGTAGAAAAAAACAAAATAAACAACAAAAAAAATTTCAAAGATATAAACAGGGAGAGATAGTGTACTAATCAACAGTAAGCTGAACAGGCATTAGAGAGACAGAGAGAGGATTGAAAATAAAAAAAATAAAAATAAATAAAAATAAAAGTAAAAAATAAATAATAAAAAAAAAATCTCCAAGTTCAAATGCAATAAAGTTTCAGTCTTAATAATTTTGGTGTTCGTCCCTCAGCCTCCAATCCTGGAGATGGTGTCTCAGAAGTAGTTCTGTCATTGTCTCATTAAAGGGGAAAAAAACCAAATAAAACAATACAAAACAAAAAAACCCCACAAAGTGTCCCACGTTCAAATGCAATACAGTTTCAGTAAGTTTTCAGCATGCAGGTGTAGTTCGGTTGTTGTCTCATCAAAGGTAGGGAGAAAAAAAAGAGTCTGAAGACAGTTCTGTGAGTGGCTATCTGAAGCTGTGGCTCGCCTGCCCACTGCTGTCAGCCTGCTGTTGCTGGAGGATTTATTTATGCAGATCTCAGGAATGAGCTTAACACTCACCTGGCCCCTCATGCTTTGCTTACTCAGAGTTCTGGGTGCGAACAGCCACTGCTACACACTTTCCCCTTTCCAGTACACTGGGGGAGGTGGCACTGCACTGCTTTCTCAGGCGGCGTGTTTATTTACAGTTCATGTGGGAAGTGGGTCTTCCCCCCCTCCTGTGGAGTTTTCCTCCCATTGCCACTTTTACAAAGCTTTCCCACTCCTGGTTGCTGGGCGTGTGCCACAGCTCCTGCTTTCTCCAGTTGGCTTGTGAGAGATTTCCCCTGCCCCCCCTCTTCGGCACTCAGGGCACCCCGCCCTTTTTGCTACATGTCTTTTTTGTTGTTATTGCTTATTATTCAGGGTTTTTTTTCTCTCTTTTTTCCCTGGGTGGGGGTCAGTCTGTCCAGGGGGCTATGCTGATCTGGCCCAGGGTTGTCTGTGGGAGTACCATGTACCATTTAGCTTACCTTGTGGTCCATGTCCTTCCCAAGCTGTCTGGGCACTGGCGTCTGGTGGCAGCATGGGAGCCCTCCTGGTTTCTCTGTTTAACATGGAGTGGAGATGCTATGCGCAGGCTGGAGGTGTGGAGGAGTCAAAGTTTTGCCTCTTCTCGGTGGTTTTTCCTGTAAGATGTATCTCCAACGTCTCTCCAAGATTTTACTTTAGGAGGCATGCTTTCTGCTTCCTCCCTGTAGCCGCCATCTTGGAATCCTCTGTGATTGTTCTTTGTTAGGGGCTCACTGAGACAGTATTCTTAACACAGGAGTGTAAACGTAGCACAGGTCAGCCAAACAGAGATAGAAGTAATTCATAGGTCTCCCTGTTATGGAAACTGACCAGAACCATGGAACCATGGAACCTCACTGAATTTCTCTGGGGTCTTGTGAGTAAGCTTGGATATTCCTGTTTTCAGAGACACAGAATTCTTTTCTCAATCCTAAGAGGTTAGGTCCCAGAGTGACCTTGGGATTGCCCTTAGATTTTATCTCAAGTTGATTTTGTCCTCACATTTCCTTATAAGACATAATCTGCATTTTTACTTAGGCTGGTGCTAATATTAAAATGACTTCCAGAGATGGATGGAGGATGTGGGGCCTCCATTCATTTACTTGATTGCATTCAAGTTCCTATTCATTTACCCTTTGAAGACTGGCAGCTGGTAGTTAATCCTGCAGGTTGGTGTATATAACATATTGCACTCATTTTTGCTGCCCAGGGTCAGGTCTGTTTGGAAGATGCCTTCTGTGTGTTTATGTTCATGTATGTATAAAACTTTCTCTTCTAGCATGGTAGTATTTTAGGTGGAGAATAAACATTAAATGCCTATAAACACTACTGCCTAGCATTGGTCAATGAAACCTTACTACTCACAGTATAGGAATCTGGTCAGATGTCCGGGCCTGCTGTGCTGTTACTCAAAGGCAAATATACCAACTAAGTCTCAAAAAGAGCAAACAATCTACCAGGCCAGATCCTGGTGGCAGCAACCCCAAAGTCCAGGCCTATGAGAATTTCCTGAGGAAGACCAGCTTTGTGGTCACAATAATCTGCAGTTCTAAACAGCCTCTGTGTGTGTTTTGAGATAGAGGATGAATTTTTTTGTCCTGCTAGGAGTTGCCATGTGGGAGAAAAGCTTTTGCATTGTAGCAGAAAACAAAACTTCATCTAGATGGGAAAAGGAAATTCAAAATTCAGATTGTCAGTTTTCTAGAAGGAGGGTGGAAACAGTTTCAGAATTCCCTTCTTTGATAATTAGAGTGATCCATAATGAGGTACCTGTGCTATTTTCTGGATGACACGACTGTGTTCAAGCAGACAGTAAGTTAATTCTACCACTATCTCGATGATTGTGGGGTTTGTTTGTTTCTGGGTTTTTTTTCTTTGGCACTACTGGGGTTCAAACTCAGGGCATTGTGCTTGCTAGGCAGGTGCTCTACCATTGGAACCAGGCCCCTAACCCTTTTTTGCTTTTAGTATTTTTTGAATAGAATCTCACTTTTGTCTGAGCTGGCCTTGGACTAATCCTTTCACCTCTCAGCTATGCCTTCTGCATAGCTGGAATTATAGGCATGTACCCCTACACATGCTATAGGCATGTTTGTTGAGATGGAGTCTTGCTAGTTTTTTACCCATGGTAGCTTAGAAACGTGATCCTCCCAATCTCTGCCTCCTGCTCCTAATGATTATTATGTTTTTGAGGAAAGAGTAAGACCTTAGCTTTTAATTGCATATTATCAACTACCTTGCCCAGTCAGAGTTCACAGTCCTCCCTCTGGGAGTGACTGGTCTCCTGGGTTGATGTGTAGGCATGGCCTTCTCAAGGATAAAATTTAGCCATGATCACCATCATGTGACATTCATTAGTTATTTCATGTTTGTTATGTTTTTGTTTTGTTTATCCTGCATAGCAATCCTGCAAAGTTACATGAAGAAGTAGAGAAAATATTAGAGCTTTAAGAACAGATTCACTTTTCTGAAGGAGAGAATTGATTTTGGGGGGAAAATACTTCAGTGGGTGCTTAGGGTAGAGAATGAGTCTTCGTCCCCAGGCTTAGTGATCCACTGGTGTTAGGTTTGAGAGGAGGGGAAAGTACCTCAGTCTTCTGGAAGTAAAATCCTCACTAATTCAGGAGAGGAGCAAAAAGCATTATAGGGAGGAAGAGGAAGTGAGTGACTTTACTCATTGGCACAGCTCTTCTCAACATGACCCCAAGTCATGACCACAAATACCCAGATTGGTAAAACTCTGGGAATGTTAGGTTTGTATTCTCTATTGGGGAAACTGGTGCAGAGGCAGCTTAGAGTCTGGAATTACTTCAGACAGGCCAGAGAAAGCACCTGAGAATGCAGGTGGCCAGAGTCTGAAGAGTCCATGCGAGGGTATATTCTGGAATTTGCTTAATCTTAGGAAAACATGATTTCCTCAAGCCAAGGAACTGGGGATTTTAAGCAGTTTTGTAAAAATGACAAAAGCAGGTGGATGCTTAGGGCATATAGATTAAAATAGGTTATTATTTTTTATTTATGGAAAACTGTAAAATTAGAAGAGATGGAAACGCCAAACCACACAGGGATTCAGACACATCTCATTCACATACTGGGCTTGTCTACTTAACCAGACTGTTTCTCCTGTTTCCTTATGGTCTGCATTCCATTATTTAAAATCAATCATTATAAGATTATTTATACCTTGTGCCTACAGATAGGACAGTAGATTATCCTTTCACATTGAATGCAACTTTGAGCCCCAGTACATTAATAGTGTTGTAACTGTGGATGGCTTTCTGTACCTCCATCTAGGACTTACTAAAGCAGAGCTTTCCAGTGATGTTGCAAAAGAAGACCCTCCGCAGAGCTGT